CCCCCCCAACCCCCCCAACCCCCCCTAACCCCCCCAAACCCTAAACCGCTCTCTGAAACTCTAAGCCTGGGACTTGCCGGGCCTTCTCTTCCTTGGCCCTGTCTGCTGCGAGTCCTGGGAAGGGGGCCAGGAGTATGACTCCTAAGTAGTTCCCATTTGTGGCTTATATTTAGAATCCTATAAGGTAATCCCAAAAAAGAAACTACTTAGGGGCTGAAAGGAGCGAAAAATGGCGAAGACGGTGCGGGCAGAAACCTGGCAGCACGCGACCAAAGAAGAGCAGAGAACAAGGCGAAGGGCAGAAGCTGCTGGAGATCCCAAGAGAACCACCACTGCCGCCGCCACAGCAATAACGACAACGACAACAAGAACCACCACAACCACAACAACCGCCACAGCCGCCAACAACTACAACAACCACAACCGCCGGGGCAAAAGCAGCAGCAGCAGCTTCAGCAACAGCTTCTCAGTAAAGATGAAAGAGCGCAAAGAAAGAGCCGCAATCATGGTCTGTTCGCGTTAACACTAAACTCCGAAAAAGCCCTCAAAGCTGTCTTTGCAAAACAGCCCCAAGGCCAATTAGGCGTCGGGCCCTGCTCGTACTGCTCCTGGAAGAGCCGAGCCTCTGTGGGGGTTCAGGGGAGTTCATGGTTCAGGATTCAGGGTTTGGGGTCGGGGTTTAGCTTAAGGCCTAGGGTTTATAAGGGCTTTTGGTTTGGGGCTCTGGGCTAGACTTAGGCACACCGCGTGACGGGAAAACTAGCAAACTGCTTGAGGTCGCAAAAGAACCCTGCCGATTGGCCGGGCCTGCTTGATTCCGTCCTCCTTCTCCCTCTGCGCTTCGTCGTCTCGCTGCTTCATCTGCAGGTTCAGAGTGTCGAGCATGTCCTTGACCTGCCGGGATCTTAAGAATTTAAGGTGGAAGGTCAAGGCCTTCTCGGAGCATCGCAGGACAGGGCTCCAACATCTCCTTGCGGCAGTATTGTTGAACCTTCGCCTCTTTAAGCCTTCATGAAGCATTAACCCTAAAATGTCTTGGCGGCAGACATACATGCACGCATACATACATGCATACGTAGGTACGCACATCATCGTGACCACACCTATTAAGTATGTGTACCGGTAAGTAAGTGTGTGTGTGTGTGTACACACAAAGAGCACATGTCCAACATACTTTGTGGATGAGGCCGCTACTGGTAGCAAAGTTATCCCCCCACCCCCGGACCCGAGAAAGAAAGCGAGGCAACTTCGGCCTTGGCATCACGGTCTGCCTTGCGCCGGGCCGCGTCCTATGTGGGCTTTCAGAGTTTCGGAAGAGTTGCAGACTCCTAAACCCTAAACTCTAAACCCCTAAACCATAAACCCCTAAACCCTAAACCCTAAACCCTACACCCTGCATGAGAGCAACGGCACAAGTTCCTTCGGCTACAGGCTTCCACCCTCATCCCTTATTGGGCCCAGAGACTTCGGAAATAGTGCGGCTGGAGGCACTGAAGCCCTATAAGTGCCTATGATGGATTGACGGAAGATGCTGTAGGAGCTCCGAGCTGCCATGATCCCTCGCTCATCGAAGTATGCGCCTCTTTCGCCGCCTGGTCGGCATCATCCTGGATCTTCTTGATTTTCGCCTGCGAGAATACTCGCTTAATGCAAAAGCCCCCACAAAAGTGATCAAGACAACTGACATTTTCTGGGGGGGGACCCGGCTGGGTTGCAGGCCACGCACGATCCCGAAGGGATCTTAGACGGGGAGTATTTTAAGTCCGTGCACAAATAATTAGCAACACAAGTAACAACAGAACTGACAATCATATCAACAACCATAACGGGTAGAAACTAGATCGAGTAACAATACTGAAAACAATATGTCAGACGGACTAAGAACAGCAACAGCATGAATAACAGCAATAATGCTGATGACAGCAAGAATACTCTGACTCTCTCAATGATGAGAGTGATCATAATGATGGTAAGTCTAAACCCTAAACCCCTAAACCCTAAACCCCTGAACCCCTAAACCCTAAACCCCTAAGCCGTACAAGACATTCGGCCTGGAGCTCGGCTTCAAGTCGAGCATCGCGCCCGGCGATGTCGGCTCCGATCGTCTGGCAGTTCCTGGACGCGGCTCAAAGGCAACGTAGAGTCCTTGTTTTAGGCTTCCGGAAGTGAGGGTTTGTAATTTTAAGAGTTCGGGTTTAGGGTTTAGGTTTTACGGGTCAGGGTAAGCACTGGGATCCCCATCTGGTCCTTGTTAAGGCAGGGGTCTGCGGCATTCAGGAAAGTGCGTTTAGGATGGCTCATATAGGGATTAGGGGCACTGGGGTTTAGAGGTTTCTTTGGTCTCGAAATACCGGCGTTCTAAGGAATTTTGGCTTTGGCTCCATTCGAAATCGTGCTCGCTTTCCGCTCTCCGGCCTCGCTCCCGCGCATACTTTGAGGTGTGGCTCGTGTTGCCACCACAGTAAGGCGCATGTTTTGGGGGGCTCATTAAACCCAAAACCCCAAGCCCTCTCTCCCTGAACCCTAATGAACTCATGGGTGGTCTTGGGAGCTACGCGAAGCCTTGGATATATCGGGCTTGGGTTGCTGGGTGTTCTTTTTGGATCGAGCCTGGCAGCTGTCGCAATTGCTGTTATTGTTGTTGTTGCTGCTGTGGTTGTGGTTGTTGTTGCTGCTATCATTATTACCATACTTACTGTTTTCATACCAATCGTAACTAGTGCTGCTGCCACGCCTACTGTTATTGCCACATTTACTATGCTTTCCTTTTTTATTACCACTGTTATTCTTCTCATTGCTATAAGTAGTTCGCAATACTTCAATGCTTTGACTCAACGGCTAGGCCGTCGCCCAAGCAGAACACTTCGCTAGAGTGGGATTTCAGAAACATCGTCCGCAGCAGCATCCCCCAACCCCTACACCCCCAAACCCAAAAGACCGTGCCCCGAAACTCTGAACCCTGCGGCTTGTCCTCTCAATCTGATCCATTCTGGCTTGGACGGCTGCTCGATTTCTTGCCTCCTGCACCAAGCTAAACACTGGCTACCGGGGCGTGTTTGGGAAGGCTCCCTTGCTCAGGAGGCCCACTGCGATCCCGTGTCATTGCACAACTTTCCTCAACCCAACGATCCACTGATCTCGACATCCTCGAAACTGAACCCGAAACCCCCCAGACCCCAGGCAAACCCTAAATTGCCCCCACACACTTCGGCTCAGCCCCCGGCTGCATCGTCTGCAGCCTGCTCCCCGGCCATCGCGAACGCCTGGTGACAGTTTCCGAGCGTGCAGGACCTAAACTTCCTGCTCAATCATTGAACCATGACCAGCAGTCGTAGGCGTCGTGGTGGTAGGAGAATGAGTAGGAGTAATTGGGAGTGGGGTCGTCGTCGTAGTCGTTGTGGATGTATTAACGTTGTGGTAGTGGTGGTGGTGGTTGTGGTCGCGGTGGTGCCAGTGGTGGTACTGGTAGTGGCAGTGGTAGTGATAGGAGCGTGATCGTGGTGGTGATAGTGGTGGTGGTGGTGGTGGTGGTGGTGGTGGTGGGGGCGGCGGCGGCGGTGGTGGTGGTGGTGAGAGTGGGAGCGGGAAGGAATAGTAGCAGTAGTACTAGCAGTAATCTCTAGTACGGACAGCCGTAGCGACTGAAACGATGCCCACCCCCGATGCGACCCCACAGATTCTCCAGTGGAGGCGCCTTATCTTCATCCTGTCGTGCCTCAGGGCAGGATGCACTGGGGACTTGTTGCACAGCGAGACAGGATTTGAGGCTGTTGTTGGGTTGCATGGCCCAAGCTGTCAGACAGGTGTCGATCCCACTGCGTGTTCATTTCTGAGGTGGCCTTGCTTAAAGGATCTGGGCTGATCTGAATCGATCCGGATCACGGTCGCTTGGGCCTCACACGGAACCATTATACTCATGATCACGAGCGAAACGAATCGTCTAAGACCGCTATGTGCAACGAATTGTCAAAAGCTCTTAACATGAGCCAACGGGCACGGCCACAAGGGCCTGGCCTTTTTTCTTCTAGCAGCTTCTTCCATGGCTTCTAGCATCCTTGGCTCTCAAGATTTGCAGGTGGCATCGGGCAAGCAATATATTCTATTCTAATATGTTATACGATTGTACCTCACAATAGATTAGGATATGTGTTTGTCTTGTCTTATCCTAGCCCATACTACATTACGATACAACACATTGCATTTTATTACATTGTACTATCTTCAGTTACACTACATTAAAATATAGTATAAGCTGTCATGCCATATGATAAATGTGATAAGGTGCGATATGACATAATATGATATGATATGATATGCTATGATACTGTATTATCTCTTTTTGCATTCAAACTTGTCTTATCTTGTCTTATGCTTGATGAGGCTATATTATATGATATTATTAAATACTTTCCATTATATTGTATTATGCTATGTAAATTAGAGTATAGTGTTTAGTATATACTGTACTATAGTTTGCTGTAGTTGTTACGCTGTAGCGTATGGTAATATATCGTCTTGTGTCAGTTACATGTTAGTAAGCTGTAGGTTATAGTGTGCCAAAGTTTGTTATGTTATCTTGTGCTTGTTATGTTGTGCCATAGTGTAAATGATGTGCCATATTGTGTCATACTATATTACAATCGCTTGTACTGTAATATACTAGTCTATATCATACGATTCCTTTTACTGCAGTATATCAGATATGTTATGTTAGAAATGTTATCAGCATGCTAAACCATGTTATACTACGTGATTACATTATCTTCTGTTCTATTATATTATGCCAAGTTCTATGATGTTATATCATATTATGCCATGTTACAGTGTATACTGTATACCACTATATTGGTTTATAAGAGTCTGTCATTTTTATTATGCCACAGTACAATATGAGGGAATATGCTATTAAAACATAACAAAATATGATATGAAGTAATATCCCATAACATGAGATAAGACGCGATAAGAAAATATGATTGATTACTGTATCTTTATCATAACTATCATTTTGCCACATTACGTTTGACAATAACATTTTCTTTGTTTCTTACATTAAACTATAGTATAGCTCACTTTCAGCGTAGTACATTATATTATGCTATGTTATGTTATGCTCTATTATGCAAGTTAGTAATTGTTATGTCGTGCTATACTACATTATTGCTACAGTGCATGATGCTGGCTTGTTCTGACCAGCACGAGACAAAGGCCTGTAAACGTGCACTTGTTGACCGGTCCGCTATGCTTCAGCAAACGGGTGCCCGGCTCGTCCTGTGCTTGCTTGCACTTCCGAGCCTGACACACTCGGAGTATCCGTCGACTTGACAAGGCACCATGCAGTAATGCCACTAAGATCTCGACGTACTCTTCCGCATCTGCGATGCGCTGCTGGCGAAGACGCTCATTTTCGTTATGCAGCCTCAGAAAGTGTCAACGTGTCTTCGAAGAGGCGTCCTGAAGACTCAGCGACGTCCACAGCACAGCAGAATGATGAGGAGGGCACCATTTCAGCATGCAATCTTGCTCGCGCTGACGCCTGTCCTGCACTGCTTTGCATGAACGTCTGCCAAGACCCGCAAAACCAAATCGGGCTGTGCTACGGCGGGTGTGCAAGTCCTCGTCTGCCTTCCGACGTTTTCGCAAGCTTTCCAGGCTCCTGGCATTGACAAAACGTGACAAAGCAGCAGCAAGGGTCGTGGCAGTGGCAGCAGCATCAACAGCATCAGTAGCAGCAGCAGCAGGAGTAGT